CCACTCGGCATTGGCAAAGGGGGGGGGCCCTGCCGCCTCTTCCCAGCCTGGCAGTCCCCCTGCCGCTCTGGTACTCTCAGGCCTTGCTTCAGCCCCAAGCTCTCCAGCTCTGCCTGCCTTTCCCCAGCCCTGCTCCGTCTCAGGAAACCTCTGGCTCCCCAGCTGGCACAAGCGTGGGTCTGTCTCCACCTCTCCAGGAGCCCTTATTTATACAGCCCCCGCTGGGCCCTAATTGGCTAATATCTGCCTCAGCTGTGGGCTCTGCTCTCAGCCCAATCCCAGGGCTGGGTTTTAACCCTTAAAAGGGCCCGTGTGGGGCAGACGCCCCATCACAAGGCTCACGCACGAAGCTCCAGGGGTCCCGGTTTTGGGGCTGCCTGTTGCAGAACCCAGCCTGGCGTACCGCCGCCTCGAACGACTGCCCCCTCCTTCGGGGCTGGCTCTGCACACCTCGTGCGCTGTCACACGCAAGAGGAAGCCTGTGAAGGTAGCAAAGGGTGGTAGGTTTGGCTCCTGCCCCCCACACTCTTCCACAGGCCAGGAATGGGGCGCCGGTTGTTTCTGGGAGCCACTGGATGGAGGAACGTGGTGGACCATTTAGAGATGCACCAGCCCCGGGACCGTAGCATCTGGCTCCCGCTCGTGAACTAAACCCGTAGCACCAAATACCACGCAGGCTGGGCGTGGCTCAAGGCCAGTGCAGCTCCAGCCGCTTGAAAAGCGACTCCCTCAGCCGGGGTCTGGAAGGCTGCCACCTTCTCGCCAAGCACAGAGGAAACTGGTTCCAGCGACACGGGTGCAGGCCTGCCAAACCTTCACCCGCTGGGGTCTCTTCCGTCCAACTGGACATGCGTAGGCAGAGTCACTCAGCTAAAGAATTTACTAAGCCCCCTGCAGTTGGTTGGGGCTGAGAGTGAAATAAAGAGCGCTAGCTACGCAGGTTAGAGTGAGCAAGCCTCCGCGAGCCAACAGCACCCGTAGGAAAACCGAAAGCACCGAGAGCTTAAAATCTGCTTGAATTCTCCCCGCATAACGCCCTTCCTGTCACTGCAGCTAGGGCAGATTCCCCCGAAACCGGAGCAGAATTTGCCCACTAGAACGGCGACAGCAGGACCGGCATGAACCAAGTGCGCCTGTCAGGATGCAGTGTGCATCCCCTCGGCCAGTCACAGCCGATCAGAGGAAGACCAAACGCTTGGAGTACGGGGGCAGACGCAGTGCTGCACTCTGCAGGCTGCCCCCCGCACATGGATGGCCACAGGCATGTGGGGAGAACTGGCTGACGGGGGTAACTAAGAGCTGTGATCCATGGCACGAGGTCAGCCTCGGAGGCACCATGCAGCACTGCTCCGGCTGGTTTTCAGGACCCTATTTCTGTGGCACCAGCCACAAAGAGCAAGTTACTTGAACATGCTGCAATGCCGAATTTGGGCAGAGCTGGGAGGGCCTCGTGTGGGGGGTAAATCTGGAGTGCCTCCTAGGGAGGAGGGAGAGCAGCGCCAGTTGCTCAGGACCTGATCTTTGGTACGCTTGCATGGTATTTGCACTAGTGCAAAGTGAGTGTGAGACACTACCATTGCAACGTGGCAGCAACTTATGCCCATTTTGTTCTATGTGAGGCTCTACCAAACACAGGCCAATGCCAAGTCTGCGCCCCAGCTTTTAGCTCCGTCCCTGCTCCGGGTTAGGCACTTGGTCCAGGTCTACACTAAAAGGGAAAGTTGAATCAAGATATGCAACTCCAGTTACAACCTTGTTTCGATTCCCCCCTCCCCATCCCCACAGCAAGAGGCCAACAGGCACAAATGCTCCCATCGACTCCCCTTACTCCTCGCAGAAACAGGAGTACCAGTCGCCAACGGGGGTGCCCTCTGAGTTCAATTTAGCGAGTCTTCACTAGACCCGCTAAATCAAATGCGGGAAGATTGATCGCGGCATTGAGCTTCCATTTAGTGAAGACCTGGCCTGACTAAGTAGCAGCAAAGATGAAATAACGGAGGATCTTAGCAATACAGGGGGAAGTCTCCCTTTGACTTCCATCTCACCCTTAGCGGATAACAAAAGTTGACTAAGCAGGTGCAAATGCCAACAGAGGCATTTTGAGGAAAGACAATCCTGGACAGGCTAGGAGCACTCAGCAATGCTAGGACAGTCCTTGAGTGTAAGAGAACATGATGCTGTTGGCAGCATTGGGCTGACATGGCTGGCCCCGGGGTCTGCTTGGTTGTTCAGCTGCAAATGACAGTGGGCAGCCAGTTAGCTGAGAGGTTGCAATGGAATACAGGGCGTCCCCGCTATACGCCCAAGATACATTCAAAAAAACATGGATGGGTAGCGAAAGGCCAAAGTGGGGAATTTTTTCCCCGTGGATGACTTCCATTTGCGCAAATCGGGGTGGGGTTTTTTTTTTGGCGTGACAGAAGAACGGGGAATGGGAGGACTTAACAAAACAGTTCCCAGAAGCACCAACGATGCTAGGGCGGAACCAACATTTACCAGGGTGACTTAG